TGTTTTCCCCCTTGAATTTCTTAAAGTGGTACTAACTTTAAAAAATATTTTTATTGACTCTGAGAATTTACAATGTATTTTGATCATATTCAGACCCCCTTCCCCATCTCCATCACTACCTTACTATCTTTGCCCCAACTTCATGTCTTCTGTTATTATTTTTCTTTTTTTCTTTTAAGGCCTATTGAGTCCAATTTGTGTTCCCCAAATGCTCTTGGATGTGGGTCCATCCCTTGGAGTCTGTTCAACCTAGCAGGTGTCATACCCTTAGAGAAAATTGACTCTTCTTCTCCTAGTGTCTGTCAATTGCCAACAGATCCTCAGCTGGAGCTGCACCTTGGGAGAAAAGGGTGTGATATATGTCCCTTTTAGGGATGAGCACTTTGCAGTCTCTTGTTGTCTGCACTTTGACCAGTTATGGGTCTCTATGTTAATTATAATCTGCTTCAAGAGGAAGCTTCTCCTGTGAGAGTTGGGAGATGTATCAATCTATGGCTATAGCAATAACAATTAGGAGTCACTTTAATACTATGTTTATTTAGCAAAATAATAGTATTAAGATCTCCCCTCTGGCCTGTGACTTTACTAGCCACAGCTTCTTGGTCCTGATAACAGTATCAGATATGAGCTCCATTTTGTGAAGTGGGCCTTAAATCCATTCAGAAGGTGGTTGGCTATTTCCCATATCATTCATGCCAACATGGGCAACAACACCAACGGGCATATCTTGCCAGGCCAGTCATTATTGTAGCTCACAGTGTTCACAGCTGGTTGAGGTGGATAGATGATTACTTTTCCATTCCTCTAACATGCATAGCACCTTCTAGCACTAAGAAAACTATCCGGTAGAGATGAAGCTTTGAGGTCAGTCTCAGCTTGATTTCTCCTTGTTTGTTCTATGACTCATGTATGTAGTATGTTCAGGAATAGGGTCTTACTGTCAAGTTCTGGCAGGTAACTTAGAGCAATGGCAATAGCCAATATTGTTTGATGGTGTATACTCCCCCCACCAACAACTCCAAAACACAGAGTTCATTCCTGGCTTTTTATTTACTAGTTTGTGGTGCTAGTAGGGCCACTGAATTCCTATTATAGAGTAACCGTATTTAAAAAATGTGTATGAGTATACCACCCACATGTATGTAATGCCCATACCCATGCCATGCAATGCCCACAGAAGTCAGAAGAGGGCATCGATTTCCCTGGAATTGGAGTTATAGATGATTGTTAGCAGTTATATTGGTACTGGGAATCTAACCCATGTCTTTTACAAGAGCAGCCAGTGCTCTTAACTGCTGAGCCATCTCTCCAGCTCCTACATTTAAACTTTTAAAAATATGGTATACATATATATATATAATTTTAAAGAAGATTCTATAGTAGTAGGTTTCCATATGACTTTTTCAAAAGGCCTTTAGTATTAGTTGTCCCTCCCCAAACCCCCTCTTCTCCCTTCCCATTCCCCAACCCATTTAACACTTCCTATTCCGTTATTTCCCTTTCCCCCTTTGTATCATTGCATTCTCTCTCCCTTCCCATGAAGCCCTTCCCCAGGGCCCTTTATTAGTTTCCTGGCCTTTATGGATTTTCTGATTGAAACATACTTAATCTAAAGTTCAAAGCTGGCATTCACTTATGAGAGAGAACATGTGATATTTGCCTTTCTGAGTCTGTGTTACCTTACTCAGGATGATTGTTTCCAGTTCTATCCATTTGCCTGCAAATTTTATAATTCAGTTTTTCTTAACTGAAGAACACTCCACTGTGTAAATGTACCACGCTTTCATTAGCCATTTATCAGTTGATGGACATCTAGGTTAGTTCAATTTCCTGGATATTGTGAATAGATCAGCAATGAACATAGATGAACAGGTATCTCTGTAGTAAGTTATAGAGTCCTTTGGGTATATGCCCAAGAGTGATATGGCTGGATCATGTGATAGATCTATTTTTGACTTTTTGAGGAAACTTTACATTGATTTCCATGGTTTCTGCACCAGTTTGCACTCCCACGGTCAGTGAATAAGTGTTCCCCTTTCCCCACATCCTTGTCAATGTTTGCCATCTTTTGTTTTTTGGATCTTAGCCATTCAGACCAGGGTAAGATGAAATCTCTAAATGGTTTTAATATGCATTTCCTGATGGTTAAAGATGCTGATCATTAAAAAAAATTCTTAGTCATTTGCATTTGATCTTTTGAGAACTCCCTGTTTAATTCCTTGCCATAATTTTGACTGAGCTGTTTGTTTTTGATGTTTAGTTTTTGAGTTCTTTGTGTATTCTAGATATTAACCTTCTGTCAGATGTATATCTGTAAAAGATTCTTTCCCTCCATTTTGTAGGCTGCCTTTTCACTAGAATGATGGTATTTTTTGCTGTACAGAAGATTTTTAGTTTTATGAGGTCTGTGGATGTTTGAATGAGAATGTCTCCCGTAGGCTCCCCAAGTATTTTGTTGGCACTCTTGGGGGAAGGTCATGGGCTCTTTTAGGAGGTGTGGCCTTGCTGGAGGAAGTACATCACTGGGGATGGACTTTGAGAGTTCATAACCTTGCCCCACTTTGAGTTTGTTCTGTTTGTTTCCTGTGCATGGGTGAAGACGTGAACGCCGAGTTTTTTTGCTCTGGCTGCCTCCTGCCATGCCTCCCCTGGCTCAATGGACTCTTATTTGGACTCATAAGCCAAATAGCTCTTCCTTCTATAAGTTGCCTTGGGCATGGTGTTTTATCACAGTAACAGAAAAGTGACTGATACAAGGTCCCATTTGTCAATTATTGACCTTAATGCTTATGCTCTTGGGGTCCTTTTCAGACAGTCCTTTCCTGTGCCTGTAAGTTCCACTGTATCCCCTACTTTTTCCTTTACCAGATTCAGGGTATCAGGTCTTATGCTGAGGTCTTTGATTCATTTGGGAGCTGAGTTTTGTGCTGTTCTCATTTAGTACTGGAATTTTCTTTTTTTAGTTGAGATATTTCCAATTACTGCTTTTATTTTCCTTGATTGCTATGGGTCTATTTAAATTGTTTATCTCATTTTTCTTTAATTTTGATAGGTCATACCTATCTAAAATTTATCCTTTTCTTCTTTTATATCTTCAAGTTTAGTGGAATATAGTTTTGTTATTATTATTATTATTATTATTTTATGTGTTTGTGTTGCCTGCATGTAGGTAAGTGCACCTGTGTCATGCAATGCCCACGGAGGACAGAAGAGGCTGTCGGATCCCCTGGAACTGGAGTTACAGACAATTGTTAGCTGCCATGTGGGTGCTGGGATTCGAACCTGGGTCTTCTGCAAGAACAGTCAGTGTTCTTAACCACTGAGCCATCTCTCCAGCCCCAGAATATAGGTTTTTAAAGTATTTTCTTATGATTCTCTGAATTTCCTTAATATGTTTTCCTTTTCACCTCTGATTTTATTAAATTGGATTCTCTCAGATAGTTTGACTAAAAGCTTGTCAGTCTTGTTCATCTTTTCAAAGAACCAACTCTTTATTTCACTGAGTCTATGTATTGCTTTTCTTCACTTCTGTTTCACTAATTTCAGCCCTGACTTTGATGATCTCTTCCTGTCTACTCTTTTTGGGTACTGTTTATTCTTGTTTCTCCAAGGGCTTCAGGTACATCATTGTTATTAATATGATATCTAAAATGTGAATTAAAATATTTTATTGGTCTGAGAATTTCATACAATGTACTTTGATCATATTCAGACCCTCCTATCTTTTCAGCACCCCTCTCCAACTTCGTGTCTTTATTGTCTTTTTTTAAAAAAAGGACTATCAAGTCTTATCTGTGTTTCCAAAATGCTCATGGTTGTGGATCTCTGGGTTTCTATTTATTATTATTATTTATTTATTTATTTATTTTGTCTTTTTGAGACAGGGTCTCTCTGTAGCCCTAGCTGGCCTGGAACTCACTATGTAGACCAGGCTGGCCTTGAACTCACAGAGATCTGCCTGCCTCTGCCTCCCGAGCGCTGGGATTAAAGGTATAGGCCACCACACCCGGCTTTGGGTTTCTTTTTAAATGTAGGAACTTAGGGCTGTAAAGTTTCCTCTTAGGACTGCCTTCAGTGTCCCATAGATTTTGGTATGTTGTGTTTTCATTTTCATTCAATCCTAGGAATTTTGAAATTTCCTTGATTTCGCCATTAACCCAACTTTCATTCAGTCGTGTGTTTAGTTTCCATGAGTTTGTGTACTTTCCCCCCCAGTTCTGTTGTTTTGCTATGTAGCTTTATTCCTTTGTGGTGAGATACAATACAGGATGCTATTTCAATTTTTCTAAATTTGTTGAGACTTGCTTTGTGTACTAATATGTGATTGATTTTCAAGAAAGTTCTATGAACTGCTGAGAAGAAACTGTATTCTTTGGTGTTTGGGTAGAATCTTCTGTAAGTTGTCTGTTAGGTTCATTTGATTTTTGATGTCATTCAACTCCAGGGCTAACTCTATTTAGTTTTTGTCTGAATGACATGCCTATTGGTGACTGGGTTACTGATGTCATCTACTATCACTGTGTTGGAGCCAATATGTGATTTTATTTTATTATTTGTTTACTTTTACGTTATGAGTGTTTTGTCTATATGCATGTAGGTGTATGTGCAACTTCTGAGCCTGAGGTTCCAGAAGATTCCATGTGGTCTTGGAGCAGCAGAGTGGGTTGGGTGACTGCTGGGTGAGCAGGTGGGAGGACATGCCAATGATTTATGATTGAAGGGATAGAGGGGATTCCAATTTGATTGTAACCAAGTAACCCTATGAATGTAACTCCTGATTGGGTTTGTCTGGGCTGTTACATAACCCTACTTGTGTCTGAGAGTGTGGGGTGGCCACAAAGGCAGGTAAGGTTCTGCAGAACTGACAAGGTATGAAGGCTGTGCCACTCCAAGCTAGGCCCAGAGGAGTGGGGTGGTGGAGAAAGAATATTGGGGCTGGAGAACTCACAGCGTTGGTGGGTGAACCCAAGCAGGCCTGGGAACTAGGATGGCACACAGGGGATGGAGGTTGGGGAACTCACGGGTCTGGTGGAACTCGCAGGTCGGGGGGTGGGGGGGGCCCTTGGGATCTGGGAAGCAGATGGAATGCTGGGGCTGTGGAATTCACAGATCTCACATGGGGCTAACTTTAGAAGACTTTTCTATCTGTGGCATTTATTGTTTCGTTTTCAGTGCTATGTGTATCATAAACTTTCTTGGTGGTCTGTCTTTGCTTTGGTGTGCAAGAAATGGGGAGGGGCTGGATTTGTAAGTTTGCCTCATTCATTATCTCATATTGCTGGTGGAATATGCGATCAGAGAACATAAGACATGTCAGGAGAGATGGAGGATGTGAACTGGAGTTTATGATGCCAAACCTAACACTCTTACTGCTTTTTATTCAAAGAGGCTAGTTGGTCCCTTTGAAGGCCACAGACCCAGAGATTCTCTTCTAGTCAGCTACAAAGAAATTACCAGTCGTTAAAACGTCTATGTCAGTCAGCCAGGAATGTGCACAGATATAGCACTGTTTATTCCTTACCACAGATCTGGAGACTGGTGGTCCACTCCACGTATGAAGGGACAGAGTAGAGTTCAATGACCTTTAGGGTGTGGAAGGCTCTTGTCTGCAAAATATGGCCATCATCCTACCTTGCCCTCCCCAAAAATGCTGCTGTTGAAGCCAGGGCTGGGTCCCAGACTACTGTTTCCATGTGGGAATTCCCTTCAAGGATTTCTTTGAAAATGCGTGCTTTAGATCCAGAATTTCTTAGAAAGTCAGTTGTGGAAATGAGGGAATAAAAGCTTATTAGGCCACGGGTAGTGGTACATACCTTTGATCCCAGCACTCAGGAGGCAGAGGCAGGTGGATTTCTCTGAGTTCATGGCCAGCCTGGGTCTTTTGAGACCCCATCTCAAAAAGCAAAAACCAAGTATGAAACAAAAGCAGGCAATGTGGAGACAGGAGGAAGAAATGGTCAGCATCTAATCCATTGGACTTGCTTTAGCTTGGTGCCCTGTCAGCCAACTTGCTGCTACCACTAAATTTTTCTTACAAATTCTATATACATAGAAAATACTTTATACAGATTCAGAGTGGTGTTTCTAGAAACAAAGTTTGAGGGGCTGGCAAGATGGTTCAGCAGTTAAGAGTACTGGCTGCTCTCGCAGAGGATACGGGTTCAATTCCCAGCACCCACATGGCAGCTAACAACCATCTGTAGCTCCAGTTCCAGGGGATCAGACACCCTCTTCTGACCTCTGGGCATTGCACAACATGGGAGCACTTACATACATGCAGGCAATACACTCATACACAGAAAATAAAAATAAGTAAAACATTTTTAAAAAACCTTGGAAGCAAAAGTTGGCAATTAAGACACATGATCTTTTGTGCTGTTATTAAAATGCTGCATTAGAGAACTGTCTAAACGATGTTCTCTGGCACTTTCTAGTCTTTACATTTACTCTATAGTCCTTTATAAACATTGAATTTTTAAATATTTTTTTATGTGTATGCATGTATTGCTTGCATGTAGGTTAAGTGCACTCATGTCATGCAATGCCCGCGGAGGACAGAAGAGACTTATTGGATTTCCCCTGGAACTAGTTATAGACAGTTGTTAGCTGCCATGTGGGTGCTGGGATTCGAACCTGAGTCTTCTGCAAGAAGTGTTAACCACTTCGCTATCTCTCTAGCCCCTAAATATTGAGGTTTAATACATCCCTTTATAAATAATTTTGTCTTTTTTTTTGTAAAGAGGATCTCCTTAGCCCCAGCCTGCCTGTAACTCACTATGTAGACCAGACTGGCCTTGATCTTAGAGACTTACCTGCCTCTGCTGGCATTAAAGGCATGAGCTACCAGGCCCAGCATTATTAAATACTTTTTCAGGTATCCATAATAAAGGAACATAGAGAATGAAGTATTTTAGGTATAACTTACAATTTAGAGAATTTCTAAGAATTTTAACGTCTTGTTTCTAAATCCTAAAGGTAAATGTTTGGTGTTATTCAGTAGAGAAAAAAAAAAAAGTACCACGTTCTCACCAGCAGTATAGGTACAAACACTGCTGAAAATGTTAGGTGTTGACAGGGGTGGCAAAGTGGCCAGATGGCCCCCACATCCTCATGCTAACCCTCTACGAAGGCAGAACAAGATCATCCAGATGATTTTTTCCAAGGAAACTTTCATATTGTAAACCAGGCACATTAATTATAATTTTAATATAACAAACATTATTAAAAGCAGCAACTCAAAACCTATCTTTTCAAAGGTGCACAGGGTTATAAGATCAGTTGGCAGTAATGCAGCTATTATCCTGTAGGAATGAAATGCTGAAGTTGGGGGGGGGTTGGGTGACCCGGTTAGGCCTTGTACTGTCTTCCCAAGTGGGGCAAGCACCCCTCCTGCCTTCCTGCTCCCCTTGCCCAGAGCTTCTGGAGCACAGCAGGATAGAAGCAGATGGACAATAGCTAACCTTGCTCTCTGGCTTTTACAGAAGCTTGGAAAGCAGGCGTTGGAGGTTGCTGTGCTGATGGAAGCCAAAAGGAGTTAGAGATTAGACCCCAGGTCCCACACTCCTGCTGGGCTGAGTTGGCTTCTCAACTTCCCTTCTACCCAGCACCACTTGGGGGCCTCAGTGGCAGCAGCTGTTAGGCTGAGATCTGGGCCCAATGCCCATCTGTTCCTCCTACCCTGGGCCAGGACAGGGACTCAGAGGGAAATGGGCAACTGTGTACAGGGTGTGAGGTGAGGTCCCTTTGCAAGGCACTATAATTGCTGAGGTTTAAGGCAGGGGTTATATAACCTATTCCAGGGATCCCCTGAATACTCACAGATGGGAAGCATGTCAGGCCTAGTCACAGCAAACAGCTTCTCAGGTCTTCTGTCCCACTGCTGCCCCTCCACTCCACCTACCCTCCCTTTCCAGCTGGCAGCTTGCAAAACCGCCGAGGCCACAGCAGCAGTTGGTAAGGCCGGTTCCTATCTGGTACCCCTGTCCCCTTCCCCAAGGCACTTCTTTCCATTTTCCAACCAAGTGAGTCAGTTTCTAATAGTTCTGGAAGCAGCAAAAACAAGGGGTCCCCGCCCCCTCCTAAAATTTTGGTTTCCCTCCAAATGGAGCTGTTTGCCCCTTCTAACAATTCTATTCATACCCTCAATGACAAAGGCTTCCTTCTGAGAGGACTGAGTGACTCAGGCCCTTGAAAAACCCCAGCCTGTCCCCAAAGTGATTGTCAGTTCCAGTGAAAGGCAGGGGATGTGCAGAAGTCCTTTGTGGTTCCCTGTGGGCCAAGGCTGGTTCACAGGCTAGAGGAAGGGAGCAGGAGCTGGGCTTTCACATTTACTTGCAGCACGAGCCTTTGGAAGAGGCCAAGATGGAGGCAAGGGCAGGAGCCAGGCTTCCCTGGAAGGAGTGTATGCTGTGTATGTTTGTGCTCATGGTGGTGTCTGTGTGACGGGTCTGGAGTTTTGTCTGATCTGGTTTCCTTTCCCAACTCTTGTTTCCTAAGTCACCTCTGGTCCAGCAAGACCAGGCTCCACTCCATGACAAAAGTGAGGGGGCTGTTGCCAGAGACGCACAAACATCTGGGGGCCCTCACTGACTCTTGCAGCCTTCCCTCTCAGACTTGAAGGACACGGATGCCAGTTCCTTCAGCAGAGACCCCGTTCATCATTCCCCAGGCTCTGGGTCCCAGGCACATGTGAACTTTCTCAGGTACTTCCTGGGATAGGGGCATTGGCAGAAAAACAGAAGAGGTTCCACCTTACCCCTCCCTCAGGGGTTCCCCTCTTTCAACATGGTCCCAATGAGGACCTGTCCCTGTAAGTCTGGTGTGAAAGATATCCAGTGAGGGACTGATGTGCACATGGAAGATATGTGAATACATAAAACACCTAAAACGGGTGAAGAGGTGAAGGAACAGAGAACTGGGACTGGGGACAAAGGGAGAGATTCAGGCCCTAGGATCAAAGGTCACAGCCAGGGGGATATGAATTCAGAAGAACCAATAAACAGAATTTGAGGGGTATGGAGAGTGTAGATGATGGAGAAAGCCAGCGAGGCCTTAAGAGACAAAGGCAGTTGGCATAGCAGCACACAGACCTTGGGAGGCAGGCAGGGACCATTGCCAGGCACTTAAAGACTGTCCTGCTTCTCTCCCATACCCCAACCTGGAGGAAACGGGGAGTCTATGGTTTTTGCTGTCCCTCCTTTGGTTTCCAGGGCTCTTGGCTGCCCGAGGCACAGTAGTCAGTAAGGGGTGGTCCCTTCCCATTCTACTAGGTACTGAACCTTGCCCTCTGGCGTGACCCTCCGAGCCAACACTTGATACTTCTCCCCACAGGCCAACCGCCCCGCTGCACCAAAGTAGTTAGTGATAGATGATTTGAGATGGGACAAGGATGAATCGTCCTCACTGATGCTCTCAAATGTGTGACTGTCAATGCCTTCGTCTGGCCGCTCGGGGCCCAGACCCCCCTCTGCACTGCTGTCTGAGGGGCAGCGTCCATCCAGCTCAGCTTCCCGGCGCTTTGCCCGCAGGGGCATGTACGCTTTGGCTGCCAGCTTTCTCTTGCGGCTGCCCACTGTCCGCCTGTATCAGGAAAGGAAGAGATGATGGGAACAATATTAGCACCCCTCTCTCTCAGTCTGTGGCAGACCCAGGGCCTGGGCTATCTCATTGGCTCTTCATATAGCCCTGTATCAGGAGAACTGAGGGTCCATAGAAGAAACCAGAGGCCAGGATTCAAACCTGGGTATGTCCAGCTTTGAAGCATATGCTCTGTATTCAGAATCTAGGCGGCAGAACCTGGGTCACCCCTGTGTGCCTCCTGAAGTCTCACAGAGCAGAGGCCTTGCTTAGGCTGCCTGGTACTTGATATGGGCTCATTTGGAGCTAGATGAGTCAAAGAGGGACAGGAACTAAAGGATTTGTGCCTTTAACACAGGTAGAGACATTAGCAAAACAGACAAGAGTCTGAGACACAGAGGCCAGGACTCGAAATACTAGAGAGAATCAAAATACAGGACCAGGTAAGTAGAGTAGAGCTCAGTGGTAGAGCACTTTTCTAGTATGCATAAAGCCTTGGGTTCAATCCTAGAAGGACTGAACAGAGGTAACAGCAGAGAAAGACACCTAGTCAGAGATAGACTTCAAGACAACAGCACTATGAGCACTGTACTTTTAATTCTGCTTTCACAGGACCCCACATACCAAGAATGTAGTTAGAGGAGTTAGAGTGCAGAGGAAACTACCCTAGAGTACCACCCCTCTGTGCTGCTGATCAGTAAAACAGGGTATACCCCTAGCCAGACCCCAGACCCTGCCTTTCTACTAGACTTGAAATAAATGGATTTTCCCTTTAGAGACTCTGGAAGACACACAAATTGGATAGCCAGGAAACAGGGACAGGAGCCTTGCAGTCTGAAAGGCATGAACACAATCATGTCGCACAGAGGCCAAGAAGCCCCAAATGAAAAGGCCTCTGATCAAACAGCCCCAGAACTGGATCATTCAACCAGACTTATCACACAATTGCTGCAGGCAGAAAACATCCCAAAGGGAAGAACCACAGCAACCTGAACGCCTGTCCTTAGCCTCCACCTAAACCCCAGTGACTTGCAATAGAAGATGCCAGGGCAGATTCACAATGGCACAAGGCCAGTCATCCCCCCGGCTCTGATCCCCTAGCCTGAGACCTGGATGGGCAGAATGAGCCTGCATCCAGAATGGGAAGTTTGCAGGCCGCGGACTGGTGGGTGTCCTTGGCAAAGCTCAAGGAGCAGACCCCAGAAAGCTCACCTGGAGTCATAGGAGAGGCTGGTAGAGGCAGAGCCAGAGGTACTAGCAGCATCGGTGGAGTCCACATCCGAGAAGAAAGTCTGGCCTGAGCTGGCACTGAGAGGGAGAGAGGGTGAAGCCTGCTACTGGCTTGGCCCAGCAGAGCCCACCAACTTGGCCCTCAGGAGCCCCTGGGACCACTCCAGCTCTCTCTACCTCTCCATCATGCATCCTTCATCCTAGCAGAGGCCCACCTTCCCATCTCCAAGCTTCCCAACCCGGGACTGCTTGTCTGTTTTCTACCCATTCCGCCTATAAAGTTGGGAATCAAGAAAACTTTCCCTGACCACTCTCCCCTGGGGATGGACATGCTAGTGACATAGACTATGCATCATCAGGCCCTTGTACAACATTACAGGTGCTAAGTGTTTGAGGAAAACAAGGAGATTGAGAGGTTAAGGGTTTTAACTAAAGCTGCATAGCTAGAACTGGAAGACAGGGTCTGGAGCTCTCATCTGTCTGACTCTAAATCCCTTCCTCCCTGCTCCACAGTCAACTGACAGAACTGCAGGGTCCTCATTGACTTTGGGAATAACATGGTAAAAGATACAGTTCCTGCCCTTGGGTATACCCAAGTATAGGTGCTGTGAGCAGACACAGGTTTCCAATGCAGTCTGGGAGGGTCAGTGAGGGCTTCCTGGAGGAAGCAGCATCCTGGGTTTTTAGATGGGAGAGGGCACAGCACAGGGCCTTGCAGGCAGAGGGATCAGCATAAACACAGATGAGGCAGTGAGAGAGGGCTAGAGAGGTACGGGGTGCACAGCAAGGCAGCCTAGATCACTGCTCTGGAGAGCCGGGGCGGCAGGGGGCGTCTTTGCCCAAAGCACTAGCGTTGAACAGATCCTGGGAAAGTCCTGTGCAATATGAACCTTTTAAATAGGTTTCAGAAGGACCCTGAGGGAGCTTCCACACCCTCAGCATGCTTTCCTTCCTGTCCCCTTTCTATACTCTCAGCTCCAGAGAGAAGTCCTCTCTGCTGGGCCCCTGGCTGATACCTTTTTAAACTCTGAATTTCATCCAGTGTGAAGTCAAATATACTGGCCAAGTGGTGGTTGGTGCTCCAGGCTGAGGTGAAGTCGCTCTGTAGACAGAGGAAGGAGACAGGAAGGGTCAGTCAGGGGATGACAGACCCACCTCCCCACAAGCAGCCTTTTTCCCGGCTGAGGAGGACATGGGCTGCCTGCTGTTCAGCCAGGGCTGCCATTCCCTAAGATAACATCTCTTTACCCCAAGTCCTGACCAGAGAGCCAAGTTGCCCTGGATCTAATCCTAGCCTCATCTCCGGCCACCTGGTGACCTTCTTCATTCACCTCCACTGCTCGGGGAATAACCCCGAGCCTGCATTACTCTGAGAGGTGTCAGAAAGCCCAGACTCAATCATGGTTATGAAAGTGCCTTGTAAACTGTAAAGTACTGGGGAGCTGAGGCATTGGTAACGCTACTACCCACAAGGAGAGCGTCAGTGTTATCAAAGCAGAATGTGCTCTGAGTCCTGGTTCTAGGCTGGGGTCAGCCACTGCCCCCATACAGTCATTTCCCGACCTGGGAAGCAGGATTGGGATGCTATTTATCCATTCCTTGGCTCCTGGGTTCTCTGGAGAACTTGGGGAGATAAGGATGTGGTTCTAGGGCACCTGGCATTTCCTTGTTTCTCTGTAATTGGCAACAGGACACAGGAGAGTCCTCTGGGCCTGGGGACATTACACTGTTTTCTGTACAGGAACCCCTAATGTGTGCTGTCCCTGAATATTGAACTGGAGAATAAGAAAACCAGGAACTAACACTGGGAATAGCATCTTCCAGCAAAAACTTTGATCTTTTTCTTCTATAAACTCGCCTTTTCTGCTGCTGGAATTCGTGAGTCAACAAACTGTGGAGACAGAAAAGGGAGAGGGTGACCCAGTCAGAGCCTGAGGGCCAGAGGGTGGCTCAGTGGGAGGAGCCTCAGGAGTGCTGGGGCAGGGGCCAATGTGGGGGTGGGGGAGGGCTTGGCTAGGGCAGAAGGAGCCTGGGAGGGCATCCTCTGGGATAGTGAGTATGCAGAGTGGGAAAAGGACGGGTGCTTCCCAGGACATGTCCCTCCAGATGCCTTGCCATGAATGCTCCTAGAGAGGAGTCTTCACCCAGCCAGGGGCGTGAGGACACCTCATACACTTCTACTTCCCCTCTCTCTGCCCAGTCCTACCACAGCAGGGCTGGATCCCAGATCAGGCTTTTGCTGAGCTAGCAGTGAGGGGCCTGTGGTGGGAGGAGTCTAGGGGCTCCTGCCTCATGTGGATGCCACCACACTGCCTGGGCCTACTGCATCACCTTCTACCACTAACAGGAGTTGGGAGCTGGGGGTGCAGAAAACCCAAGCTGGCTGGAGCCACAGTCCTGGGACCAGCACTGACCCAGGCTTGCTCTTTCCTCTCTTACGCAGCAGCAGTTCTGAGGTTCCACTGTCACTTGGCACCAGCCCCTTGTCGGGTAGCAGCTTGCCGGGAGGGTTGGGTGGGACCCGGATGCGCAGGCGGAAGATGCACTTCTTCTTCTTGATCTCTTTGCCACACAGGAACCTGGGATGGGCAGGGGAAAGTCTCAGGCTGTCAGCTGGGTGGCAGCCGGCGACCACCAAGGCCATCTGCCTCCCTGGACCCAGAGCTAATTCAGAGAGGCCTCTGAATGATGAGGGGTTCACCCACTGAGAATGTGGCCAGGCTCCTCCCTGTCCTTCCTCCTGCAGGTGTGTGGTTCTTGTTGGCCCTGTCTTTGTCCTCTAGGCCTCAACCAGCTGCGAGGCCCCCTTGTGTAGCATACAGCAGAACTCTTGGGACCCAGACACTGTGCTACCTCATTGTGTTCTCTGGTCTGGAAGTACCTCCAGGCACTTCTGTCATTTCAATACTCGCTGAGTGGGTCCTGAGACCATGCAGGTGGTTTAAACCTAGGCCTGCTCTCAGAAATCTGAGTGCATGGGAGGGCAAAGGCCTCATCTTCAAAAGCGGACCTTGTCTGCACTTCAGAAAAGTGGAAGTAGGTCATTCTGCTGCAAGAGGTGTATGGCAAGCTTTCACTGAAGCAGGGACTTTGTCTTGTCCCCCCTGTAGCCTCAGAACCTAGGCAGAACCCATAACAGAGCAACAACCCAACACAAATACTTGCTGATGGAAAAAAATGAATGATGGAGAAAGAAGGACATACCAGACAGAGGGAAAGGTAGGAACCAAGCACTGGATGTGTGTGTGGTAGTGCACACCTGTAATCTCAGCACTCAGGAGGCTGAGGCAGGGGTTCAAGAGTTTGAGCCTGGGCTAGAGTGAGACTCTGTCTCAAAAACTAACTAATCCAACCAACCAACCAACCAACCAACCAACCAATCAACCAACCAACCAACCACTGAGTGGAGAGTTAAGAGCTGAGTGGAGCTGGCTGACACCCAGAATCCATAAAGCATCAGAAAATGTAGACAGGACTTGATTATAAAAGGCCTCGGACACCAGCTTGGACATTCCTCATAGTGGTGAGGAATGAGTGTTAAGAATTTAGAATGGGAAGATACAGGCTGGAGGACCAGTTAGGAGACTAAGGCCTACCCGAGAGATGTGTTTTTAACCTCCCTAGCTGGCTGGGGCAAGACAGACATCCCTTTATAGAACAGAGCCCAGGACGTAACTGAGTCAGAGTGCCTGGGTGTCTAGAGAGGCTTTGCAAAGGAAGAGCTCTGGGTGTCTTGACTCCCTAGGTGGTGGAGGGTGGGAAGGGGAGGAAGGAGACAGAAAAAGAGCACTGATTAAGCAAAGGCTATATGGCAGGAAGGGCCTTTAGAATGAAATTCCACCTGTCAGGGTCACATGTGCCACTTCTTGTACTCACCGGCTTTTATAACTGTTCAGAGCATTGAGGAGATGTGGTCCTCGATCCGTCACAGGGGTGCTGGTGAGCTAAGGGAAGCAGAGCAGCAGGATGGTTGGACTCATGCATAGGGAATCTGAGGAAGCTCCAGTATGACCCTTCCCCCTCCATCTCCTGATGCTTCACAGTCCTCCAGGTGAGGACCAATGACTGACAGCACAACCTCTGACAAAGCTTTTCACTTCTCTGAAGAGAGCTCATTTTCCCACCTGTAAATGCAGAATAAACTCCTTGCCTAAGTGTGACAGGAGCTTTCCAGGGCTGGGGATGTAGCCCAGTGCTAGAATGCTTGCCTGCCGTATATGAAGCCCTGGGTTAGTCCCCACTGGTGCTTTAAAAGCATCCACTGATGCCATTCCATGAGATCCATGCTACAGACAACATGGGACAGGAACAAAACTTCATGTACAAAATGTTCCCTGCGGCACTGCTTCCAGTGGTGGTCAGAAGAAAAACACACTGCATGTGAAACAAAACTAAGGGAAGCAGAGCAGCAGGATGGTTGGACTCATGCATAGGGAATCTGAGGAAGCTCCAGTATGACCCTTCCCCCTCCATCTCCTGATGCTTCACAGTCCTCCAGGTGAGGACCAATGACTGACAGCACAACCTCTGACAAAGCTTTTCACTTCTCTGAAGAGAGCTCATTTTCCCACCTGTAAATGCAGAATAAACTCCTTGCCTAAGTGTGACAGGAGCTTTCCAGGGCTGGGGATGTAGCCCAGTGCTAGAATGCTTGCCTGCCGTATATGAAGCCCTGGGTTAGTCCCCACTGGTGCTTTAAAAGCATCCACTGATGCCATTCCATGAGATCCATGCTATAGACAACATGGGACAGGAACAAAACTTCATGTACAAAATGTTCCCTGTCGCACTGCTTCCAGTGGTGGTCAGAAGAAAAACAAACTGCATGTGCAACAAAAGGCAATCAGTAAACTCAGGTAGAAGCCAGTATAGCCATTTAAAATGCTTATGAGAACTCTAATAACTCTGAGCTATATAATAGTAATTGAGAAAGAGATGATTTAAAATAGTATCTACTGTACCATCAAAACCAGAAAAAAGGGGGTGAAAATATACCCACACTTTATTTCTAGCTATTTCTGAGTATATGTGATATGGGACTGTGGATTAAAAAATATGCTTCTGTTTTTGGGAATTCAAAATATTCTTTCTACTAGGAACATGTATGCTATTTTGTAAGTCAGAAGTTTTTTTTTTTTAAACAACTCTTTTTTTTTTTGAGACAGAGTCTCCTTGTAGCCCCAGCTGGCCTGGAACTCGCTATGTTGACCAGGCTGGCCCTGAACTTATAGAGATCTGCCTGCCTCTACCTCCTGAGTGCTGGGATTAAAGGTGAGAGCCACCTTGCCTGACCAAAAACAAAACAAAAACCAAAAACCAAAACAAACCTCTATCTTTGAAGCTTTTAAAAATATATTATTTTTTTTTTATTTTATGTGTATGAGTATATTGCCTACATGTATGTAAGTGTGCCCATGTCATGCAATGCCTGCAAAGGCCAGAAGAGGGCATTGGAGCCCCTGAACTGGAGTTATGGACAGTTAGCTGCTGTGTGGGTGCTGGGAACTGAACCCAGGTCCTCTGCAAGAGCAGCCAGTATTCTTAAACTCTGAGTCATCTTTTCAGTCCCAAGCCTTTATGATATATTAAAAAATAAATATTTCATGATATAATGTCACAACAGATGGAGACATTACATAAAATATCTTGCAAAACAGAAGAGCTACCTATTTTTTGAGACAGAGTCTCCCTGTAGTCACAGCTCCCTATAGCTGTCTTGGACCACGCCAGCTCTGTTAGGTTTCAAAATTACATTTTATCTATTTTGTGCATGAGTGCCACCCCCCGGCCTCCGTGTGTGTGTGTGTGTGTGTGTGTGTGTGTGTGTGTGTGTGTATTGTACATGTCACAGCGTGTGTGTGTGTGTGTGTGTGTATTGTACATGTCACAGCACACATGTGGCTGTCAGAGGACAACCTGTAGGAAGCCAGTTCTCTTCTTCCATGATGTAGGTCCTAGGGATTGAACTCAGGTTGTCAGGCTTGGTCGCAGGCACTTTTACCTGCTGAGCCATCTAAATGGCCCTAGTTTTCTTTTTTCAAAATCTTGCCTCATCAAAGGAGTTGGGACAGTCAGTGGGGACGATGCTTCATTCTGCATGTAGGTAAGAGGACTCTGAGGGTGTCATTAGGGCAGAGGGACCTATCTCCCTAAGGAAGGGATTAGGAAGGCCCTTGGCTCCAGCTCTATGAAGTTGCTGTCCAACTCTGACATTCTCAGTCTGTTAAGGATCGGACACTCTTAGAGACTTGATATTCAGAACAGGATCAGTAGGGGGCAGACCAACTCCACTTTCCAACCTAGCCAGGAAAACTGGGGTGGGCCAAACATCCTAGCAGAGTTCTACTCTACCTCAGTTCCCTGGGGCTGAGTTGGTGAGGCCCCAACTGCCTACTCCTCAAATTAGAGATCAGAAAGCCCTTCCCCTGGCACAGGCTCGGAGGCCTGGACTCAGGGGGCCACAGCTCAAGGGTAAGAGCTCAGATATCTACCCTAATCCTGCACTGAATGCAGACATATCTATCACCCAGGGTCCTACATACCTTGCCAAGCTGCAGGAGTTCCCAGTGATGGTTGACAAAGGCCAGAATTTCCTCAAAGTCAAAGTATTTCTTCTTGCTCTGCACCCCCAGGTTGTAGAGGGCCAGGTGAACTATATCCACCCTGGGCAAGAAAGCAAGAACCAGGTGAGGGGCAGGGTTGGTTCAGAGGGAGGAGGGAAACCAAGAGCTGGTAGGGGCAGGCTCTATCCTCTCACCATCGAAGGGGCAGCCTCTCAATGTACTCTGGGCCCTGGTTACACACGGAGCAGAAAAACAGGTAGAACCTGTGGGTAGGGAGTAGGCTGTGGTGAGAAGGACTCTGATCCCCAGCCTAGGCTATCCCTCTCATCCCCACCACAACCTGCCTTCCCACAGTCAGCATTCACTCCTGGGGCTGTGATAGCATGTACCTTACTACAGAAGACAGCTGAGGATAAAGGGGACTCTGGCTACGCTAGGCCAGGAGGCAGTAAAGGAATATGCTGGGCTACATGCCTAGTTTCCACTGGTTTGTGGGGAACCTTAAGTGGATTCCTGCCTTCCTGTTCTCCAAGTATCTGGGGAAGGAGAGGTGAGTCTCTGCTTCAACCTTGCCAAGAATTACTCTAGAAGCCACTAGGGAAATGGATGGCTTCTAATCAGTGTGGCTAAGCATTATACATGTCAAATCAGGTACTATGTTTTTTTAACAACTGCCTCTCAGACTTCACTTCTGGGCCATTCCGGTTGGAGTATGAAAGCACTAATCTGCTCAGCTACACTTCATTACTGATTTTGGGATTAAATCGTAGTTTTTCAGACTTGGATTTTTTTTTTCTTGGCTGGTGGCTTGCAATTTGTGTGTGTGTGTGTGTGTGTGTTTGTGTGTGGACAGAGGTATCATTACAGCCCACCCTCTCTGTGAAATGAGCTGAACTTCAGGGCAGTGATATTTGGAGAGGGGTCAGGGTTTATAAAGGCATATTCTTTGGCAGGTAATCTGAGTGGGTGGCTGTTGTCCTCCAGCTCCTCTCACAGTCAAGACCCACCTGGAGCTAATCAGCACCTACCGGTCTCCAAACATCATGGGTTCATTAAGGCACTGTGTGCAGGCCTCGTGGAACCACTGCCTGCACCGATAGCACTGCAGCATCCGAAGGTACCACCTGAAGAGACAACAGAGCCAAATCAGTGATATCACAGCCAGACAAGGGGCTCAGCAACTTCTGCCAGCATAAGACTCATCCACCACCAGAAGAAAGAGAACTGTGAGGCACAGTTACCACACACCTGCGAGCCAGGTCTATGCCATCTCATTGGATCTTGCATCTAGTGAAAAAGCACCATTAGTCCCCAGCCCCAAAATATTATTCAAGGTCCCTCAGAAAGCATATACATGATGATGATTCAAACCCTGGTCTCTTCAACTTCAAGCCTGTGTTCGTCCTTCTGTGCCCCATTGTAGCTCCCACCTCTGTTCTATGCCCCACACACTGTTCCCCAGACATCACTGACAAGGAAAGGTTTGCCTGAGACACTTCATGAATAATAATGGCTTCTGTGACTTACGTTGGGGCAGGCCTACATCTGGTTTTCTCAGCTGGGACTGTATCTGCACTACCATTAGCAACTCCCCATTTACTATGAATAAGGAGCAAAAAGGTGTGTTCCAGTTTAATATGCAGATTCCCTGGTCTACTTCAGACCCATCTAGTATGGAGGGAAGCCTCTGGGAGGTGTGCTTTCTAAAAAAATTTTATTGAATTTTTGCACATTTCATGTAACAGATCTTAATCAATTTTAGACCCCCCCAATGGGATTTTATGCATTATGTCACCTGTGTTAAGTCCTTTCTGGTCAAGCATTTGTACCCAGCTGTCCTTCAGTGCAAGTTTATCCACTGGAGTCTATCTACATCAGCCTATTTAGAGTCTCTCCCTGAAAGAAGATCTACTCTGCCTCACCATATAATCAGTTGCCAACAGTTCCTTGGCTAGGGTTGGAGCCTGCTGCCCATTTCCCTCATTCTATGGGAGGTGCATCTTTAATAGCTGACCACTGATCATTGAGAAGCACTGCCTTACTAGTATTTCTCCATCTGTCATCCATTAGTCTTCCCTGTATACTGGGACATTCACATGCAATTAAGGTAACTAAGTCTACTTGAGGATGAAGTAGTTGAAATAAATTAGTTCATATAAATAAATAACTTGAAATATTAGTTCAAGTTTCCCAGCTGGTCTCTTAAGCACAGCCTCCAGACAATCAGAGCAGGTTCTGAGGTTTAGGACCTACTGGACCTCAACTGCTACTTGCTGAGGGGAGAGACCCTGCCTCTTATGTCTGTGATTCTTCTCACAGTGCCTCATGCAGTCAGCCCAAAGGAGCAGGGCTCAGTTGTCCATAGCTCCATGGAGGCCCAGGCCAGCGGGGATCAAATTCTGGCTCCAGAGCAGGGCAAGCATCTCCTCCACAGCATCCCCAACATAGAGCCCTGGCCCTTCACATCCATCTGTTTCACTGGTTGACAGCGAGAAGGTAATCTTAACTTCCAGCAGCAGTAGCACCACCACCAGCAGCTTATCAAGTGCCAGGCACAGTGTGAGCCTTTATGCACACTCTGCTCACAACCTACAACCACTAGTAAGAGAACTAAGGCCCGAGTGGCACAGCTAACAAGGCCCAGCACCTGGATATAGACATCCTGGGAGGATGACTGTCCAGCCTAGGCTCTTAGCAACAGTTCAGTACTTCCTTCTCAAGTGGCTCAAAGAAAAAAGCACTTCTGCCTTCTACTGTCCACTGCCGCCTGGGGAGGATCTCACTTTAGGGCCCTGCCCCTTGAAGTCTCTAGGCGGCTCCCCCAACATCCCCCGCCTCCCAAGCCTCCACGGCAGCGTGACAGCCCAACAGCAGACCAGGCTCCGAAGATGACACTCCGGATCCGCCTCTCCAGATCCCACCTCCAGGGCCTGCCACTCAGGCCCCGCCCCTGCGGCTGTCGCTACGGCTGCGACCCCACCCTCCAAGTCCCGCCTCCAGTCTCACACTCAGGCCCTGGCCCCGCGGCTGTCATTTTGATCCCGCCCCTCCAGGCTCTGCCTCCAACCTGACAATCAGGCCCTGCCCCCGCGGCTGTCATTCTGATCCCTCCCCTCTAGCCTGACAACTAGGCCCCATCCCCGCGGCTGTCATTCTGCGCCGGTCCCTGAGGCCCGGCTCGCAACGCTGTCACTGGGATCTCGAGACCGTGCCCCGCCCCCTGAGGCCCCGCTCCCGAGGCTGTCATTCTGGGCGGGACCCTGAGGCCCGGATCGCGAGACTGTCAATCGGATCTCCAGACCGTGCCCCGCCCCCCTAGGCCACGCCCCCGCGGCTGTCACTCGGATCGCCAGACCGTGCCCAGCCCCTCGAGGCCCCGCCCCCGCGGATGTCATTCTGGGCCCCGCCCCGCCTCCTTACTCTCCGGGTCCGCCGCAGTAGCAATAGCATTGCTGCTGGTTGGTGCGGTGGGGCGAGTCCCATTCCAGCTCCTCGGGTTGGTAGGACAGCACCATCTTCACAGCCTGCAGCGTCCTGGCGATGGCGCCTTTCTTCAGCGCGCCGCCTTTCTGGGGGGTGGGGAAAGAAGGGCCCACGTCACCAACCACATGTATCTGCACAGGGCTATCAGGCCAACCGCTGCCGGGTTTGGGGAGATCCAGACGTTTCACGGCACAGAAAAGCAAGTAGATTTTTCTTAGGAATCCACATAATCCTCCTTATCCCTCTAGGATTTCCATTAATAGCAAAATACAGGTAATAACTACCCACATGTAATGAGTGTACACACATGAAGTTTCTCTTTTAATAGTAAATCAGCCTTTATCGGGGGGCCTTCTACTGATACCAAACCTGTGTCCATTTTACCACTGAGGAAACTGAGGTTCAGAGAGACTTTGGAATCTGGCCCAGGACAGACAGCTAATAGTTGGCAGAAGCACCATCCGTCTCCAGAGCCATGTACAGCCCTTCTGATTAAGGCATGGTATCTGTATGGGGGCTCAGGTCTGACTCCAGGGGGCTTCTGGGCTGCCCAGTTGGGAGGTGCGAAGTCAGGGGCTGGGGAAAAGGGAGGGCTCACCCTCACAGCCAGTGCGAAGATGCAGCGTCGGCAGAACCAAGGAGTGAGGAGGGGCCGGTTGGCACTGCCTGCCATGGGGATGTGGCACTGCTGGTGGTAACCTAGGGCAGAGGAGGGGGTGATGAATGCCCACGAGGAAGCAGTGGCTCAAGGGCAGTTGTTCCAAGGCTAGGAGAACTGTGGCAGCCCCAGGAGCTCTGCCTACCAGCTGCCAGGGCACTGACTGGTGATGCCCACCCAGGAGCCAAGCTAATATGGGGGAGGGGGGGCGACTAAATGACAACATTGGTTACTCCAAGATGCATCTAGGGCTGGGTTGATTCAGCACCTGCACCCCTTCCTTCCCACCCACTCACTCTGCCTAGGAGGGCCCCAAACTACATATTCCATTGTATTTCCTCAGCTTTCTCCAAGCCCATCTCCCTGGGACCCCACTCAGAGAACAAAAGAACTAGGAAGCCTCAGCATGTGTCTGTCAGAGGCCAGTGCAACAGGGGACCCATAGCTCAGGGCCTTTTCAATGCCCTGCTCACCCACTCACCCAGGCCACACTTTCCACAGATGAGGATCTCATTCATCGGCCCTGATGTCTTCCCCAGGCAGATGTCACACTTGGGCTCTTCTCCTGGAACGCCAGCTTAAAGAAAAAAAAAAAAAAGTCTTCTCAGTTCAGATCTAACTCACATGAACAAGAAGAGTCAAAATCACAGGAGGGATTCCAGACCTAGTACTGTAAATCCACCCAAAAGCCCATGGCAGGGAAGGTCATAGGCCCTGTTGAGGAACTTAATTTTGTTGTTTAGATAAACTGACACAGGGTCGAACCACCTTATAAATATATATGTTATACCCATAGACAGTCACCACTCTTAGCCTTAACGAGAGAAGCCTCTCCTGTGAACTGCAGTAAATGTGCGGATTTATGTCTGTACAAAGTGCTGAGAATTGAGATTAAGCAACAGCTGAACAATACAGTTACACTACAAGGCTCAGAGAACATTGTGAGCAATAGGCAAAAAGAATGTAAGAGCAGGAAGACAGAAAGAAGGGGTGAGAAATGTTATATTCTGAGCATGACACAGCCTTTGCAATCACAAACTTGGAACCATTGTGTCTGACTGCAGGGGGTCTACACAAGAATGGGCTAGGTATGGATGGAAGAGGAGGGGCTCAGAGGGCCTGACCCCTCACTGCTGAACTATTTCTTACTGATAGCTTCAAGGAAAGGGGGGTTTCATTGCCTTCAGCTGTGTACCCAACTGGTGACTCCACTAGGCTCCAATGGGTATGCCTAATCCAATGGTCACACAGATGGCCCTGATGAAACCAAATGGGTCTCACAACAAACCCCAAAATCATTAGTCTGGAAAAGGGTCAGGTAGGGAAAGGGAGGGTTTATAGGAGTGGGAGAAAGAGAAAAGAGGGGATGGGGAGGGAGGAAAAACGTGGGGGAGTATAACCAGAGTATATTACATACACGTATGAAATTTATTTAATTAATAAAACAGTAATTTAAAAATCAAATAGTGACTGACCTGCTGCACACTGGACCCTGAACAAGGTCCCATAGATCACTTCACTGAATTTACCCAACCCTTCAGAGATGCCTGCTAAGATCCTTGCTTAGCCAGTAAGTAGGAGAGGTGAGATTCAAACCCACAGCCATTGGACATCAAATTCTTTGCTCTTTTGACAACTATTGATTACGTCAAATTCCCTCTCCTGCCTATTCTAACTTGTTTTTATTAAACATTTTTTTTTCTGTCTTTTTGAAGCAGGGTCTCCCTGTAGCCCCAGGTGTCCTGGAACTCACTATGTAGAACAGGCTGGCCTTGAACTCACAGAGATCTGCCTACCTCTGCCTCCCAAGTACTGGGACTATAGGCGTGCGCCACCACGCCCGGCTTTATTAAACATTTTTGATGCCAAATGACTTTATTATGGGATAATAAAGCATGTTTATAGTGAAACTCCATGTTCCATCCACAAATGTAACTTCACAGCAATCTTGTTTAGACTATATTCTCACCCACTTCTCCCTTCTGTCATTATTTCAAGTCAAGATACAGATGCCCATGACTATTTCAGTTGTTTATCTGAAAGATCAGACCTTTCTTTTAAAAACATACCACATAAGGCCAGGAGTGGTGGCCAGAGGCAGAGGCAGGTGAATCTCTGGGAGTTCCAGGCCAGCCTAGTCTATAAAGCAAGTTCCAAGTCAGCCAGGTCTACATAGTGAGACCCTGCCTTGAAACATACACACACACACACACACGCACGCACGCATAAAGCACACATACAACAAAGCTTTTATTGTACTTAATTTATTGACATCAACAAATTTGGTTGCTCTTTATATTTCCAACTGCCTCTCAAATTAAAATCTAGTCACAATTTTGTTTTGAGTCAAGATGCAAACAAAGTTCACACATAGTGACCAGTTAATGTTTATTTTATTTTGGAGCTGGGGTTTCAACTCAGGTCCTTCTGCTTGCTGGGCAAGTGCTCTACCATTGGACTAAGCTTCCAGCCCCTGAAGTGTTTGTAGAATGGCTTCTCATTTACTGGTTCCCACTCTACCTCTCTTCATTTTTCTTTGCTATCTTTTGTTGAATAAAGACAAAGATAAATATTTTATATCTGGAATATTTGTGTGGCTATATTAAATATATTTCTGTCCTTTTGGAGGGCTGTGTATCAAACCTAGAGCTTTGCACATTCAAGGCAAACTTCTGAGCTATACCCCAGCTCTTAAATCCTTTTCTTTTGGTGTTTGTGGACACATGCATGTGTGTTTGTGTGTGTTTGGGTATACATGTGTGTTGGTCATACTCCTCAGAAGCCATTTACCTTGTGTTTTGAGAAAACATCTCTCACTGGGATCTTGGGCTTGCTGATTAGGTGAGGCTGGCTGACCAGTGAGCCTCATGGATCTGCCTGTTTTCACCTCCCCAGAGCTGGGATTAGAAGCATGCACCACCCTGTCTAGCTTTCTAGGGATCAAACTCAAGTCTTCATGCTTGTACTGAATGAGTCATCTCCCCAACCCCCTTAAAATACATTTTGATGTATTGCTTCTTTCTTGTTTTCCAGTAGGTTGCAAGGTTTTTTGTTTTGTTTTGCTTTCAAAGGTTTTGAGACAGGGTCTTCCCTATCTATGTCTGACGTGGCCCAGGTTGACTTTGAACTAGTGATCCTCCTGCCTGTCTCCTGAGAGTGAAGGTTTTATGAAGGCAGAAATGGTATTCTTTCACCTCTGTACCCACAAGACCACACACGGTAAATGGCAGATAACAAGAGTTCAAGACATATTTGCTGAATAAGGGGCCAGGCAAGGGCCTCATGTCATTTTATTCCTAAGGAAGGTGGTGCCCACATTGGGTCTTAGTCTTCCTTGGCTTAGTAAAGTTATGGGCCCTAACTACATTATTATGCCCAGCCTTAAGTGATGCCAGTCTTAGGTGATGCCAAGGACCACCTAACCGTCAGGAACAGTCACCTGCCTGGGAGACAAACTGTTCCTGGCCACATACTGCTATGCTCCGAGAATGGCACCTGACACTGTGGGCTACTCAAGCCCTGAGAAGTTAAACCATCTTTCTCTTGCAGCTGGATCCTTTTGATAGAGTTATAACCAGCAGGGGATGCTTGTGGCTTTGGATTTCATATAATAAATTTAGGGTGCAAGAGACTGGGAGAAATATGAGTCTCCCCAGGCTACAGCTTCTTGGAGAAAGGGGTTGTTTTAAAAAATCTATGAACTGATTCAGTTCTATGCCCTCTACTTGGGCAACTTCTTGGGATCATCTTTCACAGAAAAAAAGGTTTTTAGAAACTACTTCCTATAACTTAGTAGCACTGGGCTAAGCATTTTAATGGATTCTCTCATCTGATCTTCCCAACCATCCTAGGAAGCCTCACTTCCTCTTCCTTTCAGATTAAAAAAAACCAAGGATTCAGAGAAGTAATATCACTTGCTCAAGGCTACTTGACTAGCAATAGAGAGCACTGGAACATGGTCCAAGATCTATCTGACCTTAGAACCTGCCTCAGTGGGCCACATCTGTTCTGCCAAGGATAAATGATGCTTAACAGATTTCTCCTCTTATGCCCACAGTGGCTGTTTGGTGTACCACAATAATATGGGTACTGCGACTAGTATCTCCTAAAATTTGTCACATGAAGCCCGAATGAACTCCACTGGCCATTTCTGTAGGACAATGTCAGCTGTGTGCAGGCAGGGATGGTACCCAGCCCAGCTCTCTTTCCATCCTGAAAGCTGAACAAGGTCCATTTTCATGCCTTCTTGGTCATTCCCCACCCTCACCTTCTGGCCCCAGGGGTAGAGCTGCCCTGCCACCGGCTTTCTTCCCTCGTTGACAGGGAACATTGTTCACATCTGTAACTGACCATTCTGCTCCTCAGACCTCCTCCTTCCTAGCCTCCAGGGGGATCCCGAGTAGTAGGAAAAGGTGGAACACAAAATGAAGGCCTGAGAACCAGTCCTAGTACTTCTAGTTCCTATCTGAGTCCCCCTTCCACCTGCTCTGCTTCTCTCCTGAAGTACAAACCTCTGGGGAGAGGACCAACGTCACACAATGTCACCATTTCAGGTGGGCCTAAGATACTCAAGGTCTGGGTTCCTGGAGCAGCACAGACATCAGGAATGAGATGAAAGAAGGAAAACTGAAGGCACAGAAGAGTGGACATGAGGGAGAGGGCTCCAGAAACTTGACGACTCACCATGCTGTATGTCCTTCCACAGGACCCAGTATTTGGAATTATCTTCAAAAGTCACAAGGCAACTTTGCTTAGAACTGCTGACCTGAGGCAGGGAAAGGAGCATCATGAGAAAGTGGGAGGGGGCAAACTGGGGTGTGTCTTCCTCTCATCTCTGATGCCTTATGATTCAGAAGAAGCCAGGCCAGGAGATGGAAGCACTGTGCTCTCTACTCTGGAGTTGGCCCATCAGGGACAGGGAAACAACTTGGTGGGAGTATCTTTAAGGGAGGAACAGGCCAGATAGTTATCTGTATGCTGTCCAGCCTGGTGGTTTGCTATAAGCTTCCTAAAGAACTTACTGGGTGATGCTGAACCCCCAACCCCAAAGGTGGTGCCTGCAAAGCCAGGCTCCGGCTCCCTCCACTTTCAGCTTCTGGACTTGAGGGACAAGAAGGAATGACGTTGGGCTGAGGGGATGCTGGGCCCAGGGAAGAAAGGCTCACCCTCTTGATTTTCCCAAGGTAATACAGTCCATCTGTCCACCGGCACAGCACATACTGGCCCTCTGTCAGCTTGGACATCAGGTCTTTGAAGTTCTTCTTGGTCTTAGCCAGTGCCCCCTTGTTGGGAAGGTGGCTGGTGGCACCATAAGTGTCTCGAGTCCTTGGTTCCAGGGCTCGAGTCTCCATCAGCTTCTGCTGACACAGAGAAAATGAACTAAGTTTTTATTTCTCGCTTCTCTGTGCCTGAAAAGCCCGTAAGGGAGAAAAAGCATGTGCTCTCTGACCTGTTAATGTCTCACTGAGTCCTCATGACAACTCTGGGAGGGAGACATTATTCTACTTTGAGGACAGGGAAACTGAGGCATGACAAGAAGTGGCTGATTGGCTAGAGACAGAGCTGTGGCTCCTTATGAGGTGAGCTGGCTCTATAATATACCGTACTACTTCTAAGACTAAATCTCTCCAACCCACAGCAAAGGCCCCTACCCACAGCTCTGAATCCCACTCCCCATCCCAGGAGGCTGAGGCTTTGTCCCTTATGCAAATATAATCTGTGATCTCAGGTCAAGGATCTTCTCCTAAGGAAATAGGTAGGAAGATCCCAAGGGTCCCCTGGGATCCCATCTCGCAAAAGTTCCTGGGGAAGGCTTGGGAGCTGGTATAGACTTGGACTCTATGTGTGTGTGTGTGTCTTTTTGAGACAGGGTCTCCTGATAGCCCCAGCTGACTTGGAACTCACTATGTAGACCAGGCTGGCCTTAATTTCACAGTGATCCACCTGCCTCTAACTCTTGAGTGCTAGGGCTAAAGCCACACCTGGCTCTCCTTTCCGTTCTTAATTATGGGATGATTTCATGGAAACAGATTCAGGGGCATTTGAGCCAGCTCATGCGTTTGCCCACAGCACATAGGCTAAGTCCCTGACACACCACCCTCTTCACACCTGGCTCTCCCCATTCCATGAAATGTGCTGTTTCTCTTTGCTTCTGTCTCCCTGGCAATGAAGGGTAATACCATGATGGTCAGAACACTTGGACACTTCAGACTCTGGCCAACAAGATGCCACAGTGGCCAGCTTCTGACATGACTCCAGCATCCCTGCCCTCTTTTCCATCCTGTCCTGGTCCTAGATCAGTTCTCATTTTGCCATTCATTCATTCATTCATTCATTCATTCATTCATTCATTCATTCACCTCTTCCATGCCTGTTTCCTGGGTTTGCTGCTCACCACAACCTGGCATTTAGGTTGGGGAGTGCCTAGGTCAACCTCTGCTTCCCTGCCTCTCCAGCCAAATCTTCTAGAAATCTTGTGGTTCCCTCCCCACACCTTCCCTGGTGTTCAACACTGCCTCCTCCTCTCCTCTGTGGACTCACCTGGCACCATGCCCCTCTGCACATACTCTCCTAGGGCCAAACACAGCTTCCTTCTGTTCACGGGGCCCCTCGGGCTCTGGTTCCCTCCCCTTGCCTCAGGGCCGGGCACCTGGTGCCCTATCTGCCCACAGAAAGACAGTCCTGGGTTTTTTCGAATGTGTCTGTGTACTCATTGGAGACCCTAGAACACTATTAGCAGTGTGTCAGTCAATATGTGAAACTCCACGTGTGCCTGTGAGGGACCCTGGAGCACACTCTGGGTCTTGGCTCTCCAGGTGGTGGATGGCCACGTCCTCCTGCCCTCCCCTTCCTCTCATTGACTCCAGGCCAGGGGGGGTACAATCGCCGGGAAGGGGTTGCACTCTTGCCCTCTCCTTGCTACCTGGCTCCCCGGGCGCCGCGAGGTCCCTGCAGGCCCTTGCCTGGAGCCAGGCCGGCCTCAGCAGGTTCATAAACTGGCACTTCCTCCCCGGCTGAGCCTTTGGGAGCAGGCCTGGTCGCCTCGCCCCCGTGGCCGCGCGGGGGCCCCCGGGTGGCGGCCCCCCCACCCCGCCTTCATCCTCCCGGAGCCGGGGCCCCCGAGGACTGTGATTGGCTGATTCAAACCCATCCGCACAGAAATGCCTGTTTGCGGGTTCCCGTCGGCGTCCAGTTCAAATCCGCGGCACCGGGCGCGCGGGGCCGGGCGGGGGCAGGAAGCGCGGATGATTCATGCGCCGGGGCCTCTCCCAGGGCGGCCGTTGGCGTTTTCAGTTTTCAAAGGGTGTTCAGGAGGGAGGAAAGCTTGCACCCGTATGCCCGGAGCGGGATGGCGGGGGGGCGGGGGTTAGTGCTCCTTCCTCAGTTGCTCTGATTGCAAACTTTCCCCACTCCCAGCCGGTCCCAGCCTGACTTGAGACGTGAGCAAAATCCCAAATGCCCTGGCTGCTCGCCCCTCGGAAACTCTCAAATGGGAAAGAAAAGGTGTGGGGAACGTAAAGAGACCTGTCACGCACGCCCTGCCAAAGGCACCGCTCGGGCTCCATTCATCCTTCCCCCAGGCGCGCAGCTCTGTAGAATTCCAACCCCCCAGGGATGTTCGGCCCGCCACAGTTCCGAGAAGTTTCCAAAAGGGAGGGGTCGTGTGCAGGGACAGAAGCGTGCGGAGCTGGGTTCCCCAGAGCCGCCCGCGGCGCGGGACTTACCGCGAAGCTGCGCGTCCGCCGGTCCCTCTTGGAGTCTGGCCACCAGGCGCATCGGCGGCGGCGGTGCGCTCGGCCCGCGGGTGCCCGGCCGAAGTGTCCGCCGG